GCCACACTGGAGCCTTTGTCCACCCAGGGCAGAGGCCGCCCCAGCTGTAAGCAATTCACGCAACTTCTCCTTCTCCGACTGGGGACGGGCTGCCCAAGCTCCGTGCCAGGCAGTCCCTCAGCCAGGCTCATCAGGCAGTGCCCAAAATACGACACTCCAACCCTGCCCACACAGCTGAGGGCAGGTCCCATCAATCCCGAGCTGAGTCCGGCAGCTCCACGGCCCAGCGGGCACGGCAGGGCTGGGGGAGGCCCGAGCGGTCTCTGCACGGGCCCTGACTGCTCCCAGCCGGCCCTGAGACCCTGTCCACCCCGCACAGCTCTGGTCCCCGGGGAGGACACACCTCTGGAAGGTAGACTGTTAGAAGGAGCTGGCCTGGGCACCCCAGAGGCACCGTCTCCACCCGCACTGTGCTCTGCACCCTGAAATCCCCAATGGCAGGCAAAACGTTCACAAGTGACCATGGTCTTGGGGAACACAGCACTGAGCACCCCACAAAGAAAGAGTTCATAGTTAAAGCCAGAGACTCCATGAGTAAGAAGAAGCAACTGATGTTCTGAACACCCCCACCCCCACCTCTCTCTCACTTTCTTCATTTTCTGCCCCAAGAGCGGACATGGGGCAGAGGCAACATCAGACCCTGCAGAGTCCAGCGGGTCCTCACCCAGTGGAGCGAAAACACCGACGTCAGCCTGCAGTACACAGGGCGCTAATCTGGGCTTTGAGAGAACCCGGGGGGAGGCCCCTCGAGCGCCGTCTAGCCCTTAGCAAATCACACCCCCAAACCCGAACCCCCCAACTGGAAACGGAGTGAGAGATGGAGATGGAGCCAGGCAACGACCCTGGAGCTCTCGGAGCCTGCGGTGCTCTGTGAGCCCAGCAACCGCGTCGGTCCTGGGGCGGCCTTGGCACCCGTGGAAACCGCCATGGGCCACGGGAACGTCGGCCACTGGCCACTTCTGTGGCCCCAATACAGCCTTCGGTTTAAGAAACTTCGCACTGAGTCTAAGAAGAGTCATTGAAGATGTGGGTGTCACATGGGTACTAGACAGATTGAGGGGATTACTCCGTAAGTTAAATGAATGTTGAATCACTATGTTAAAACTGATATAATATTGCATGTCAACTGGAACTAGAAAATTTAAAAATTATTTGAAAAGATTCCTACAGACCTTTCCCCAAAAACAGCATCCAGGTCTGGCAGGGGGGACCCGCCATCACTGGCCACCGAGGTGCCAATTTGATGGTTTCATCTGCTAACCCAGTGGAGTCCTCATAACCATGGTCATGGCTTGAACTGTGGCCCCCAAAGGCAAGTCCTCATCCTAAACCCTGCAATGTGACCCTATTTAGAAAACGAGTCCCTATCACTGGGCCTGCAGGTGGTCCCTGCGCCCAGCGGCAGGTGTCCTTCAGGAGAGCACTGGGGAGAGGAGGCCGCAGGACGGTGGAGGCAGGACGGAGGGACGTGCCTGCAGCCAAGGGCTGACAACAGCCACCGGGAGCTGGGCGGGAGGCGTGTCCGGTTCTCCCTCGGGGTCTCCGGAAGGAAGCAACCCTGCGACACCGTGACTTCAGATGTCTGGCCTCCAGAACCGAGGCAGAATGCATTTCTGTTGCTGTCAGCCACCGGCTCGTGGCCATTGGCACGGGGCCGAGGACAGCGGTAATGTCGTCACTCCACTTTCACAGAGGAGGCACCACAGCCTCGAAGAGCTAAGTGTCCAGTGCACGTGGCAGCCAGGGTGCGGGTGGACAGGCCCCTCTCTCCACAAGACCGGCTGCCTTTTCCCGGCGCCTTCACTTCTGAGACACGGGGATCACGAAGCCCGAAGGTAAAGGACGTGTCTCGGTGGCAGCCCCTCAGAATCCAGCGCTCCGTCCTTCCCGCAGAAGCAGCAGGGCTCGGGCTCAGCACCTCCCGGAGTTGCGCTCTGGGGGGCCCGTTGCACCGAAACGTGGCGCTCACGCTAAGCCCCCCTCCCCTCCCCCCGCAGGTAAGTGGCTAAAAAGTAATGGTGTCTGTTTTAACGAGGATCATGCAAGGATCCTGAAGGGCTCCCCCAAACAGAGGCATTTCCCTCACACACAACAGCGGAGCCCCATCGAATTCCAGACACAAGAATGTCACTTGCGTGTCACGGCTTTGACCTGGGACTGCAACGCCGAGGAGACTCACTAAACAATCTCCCCGTCCTGATGCTCCGTCAATACCTGAACCACAGACCTACGTGTCACAGCGACAGAAAGAAGAGCTGTGGAGAAGCGCTCGGCTGGGACAGCCTGGCTTTCTGTGCAGCAAAGACAGTGAGGAGCTGCGACGGCACAGCCGAGTATTGAACGTGGACCCGCGGGCCACCGGCGATCACCGTGCCAGCCCCGGGATCCCTTGTTTCCATGCACCGCAACGCTCCCAGCGACCGCCTGCCAGCCCCGTGCGTGTGCAGGAGGCTCCGGCTTGCTCAATTCTTAGGTCATTAGCGCTTCGCGAAGCAATTACTAGGGTTCCGAGCGAAAGCAGAGCCTCTCAGGCCTCCACCTTTCCTGAAAGCGTCTTACACTCCACTGACTTTTGGCTTCTATTTATAAAGAGGGTTCAAGACTTGGAAAATTATTGGGGTTGAGCTTTAATGGATATTCCCAACCAGCATTGTGTCATTATTGGCCCACGGTTTGCTGGGCGAACTCCCAACTGCGTGACGTAACCAGGCCTCTCTCCGCATTGCTCCGGACGCTCCGGCTCCCTGGGCATCACAGCCACCGAGTCATCTGCGCTTGTCAGCGAGCCTGGCCGCCAGGGGATTAGCATTAGCGCGACCCCATTATTCAGCAGCCCCGTTCAAACCCGAGCCTCCACTCCAAGAGATCTCAGGGCTTCACGGGGAACTGAGCTGCCAGAGCTCGAGGGGGTGGTGGGTGAGGGGCTTTTGAATGTTTTACGTAACGACCCACCCTAAGGCCGCTAGAAGCAGGAGCCTGGCTGAAGTGGCCGAGATGTGACTCTGGGCCCTGGAACGGCCCCAGCCAACCCAAGGGATGACGGCTAGACCTCAGCAAGGCCGTGATCCCCCAACACTGCTACGGCACAGTTGCTGTATTCCCACAATAAACTACTTATTTTAGAGATTAGGTATTTAGAATGTTTAGCCCCCAAATCGTTCTTTCCTGAAATAGAAACATTTTCTTGTCAAAACCAGGATACGGGAGCCCCAAAGTGAGAAGTACACCCTGTGCTCTCTGAACAATCGACCTGTGAGACATCGACGCCAAAACCCACGTGGAGCTTTTCTTCTCATACTGAGGGTCACTTCCCCCATGTTTCGTAAAATATCTGCTCGTAGCCCGGCCAGTGCGGCTCCGTGGGTGAGCGACAACCCTGCACCAAGAGGTCGCCGGTTCGATTCCCGGTCAGGGCACATGCCCAGGTTGGGGGCCTGATCCCCAATGGGGGGCATGCAGGAGGCGGCCAATAGATGTTCTCTCTCATCGATGGTTTTATCTTTCTCTCCTTCTCCCTTCCTCTCTCTCTAAAATTGATCAAGAAAAAATATTTTAAAAATATATCTGGCCCTGGTTGGTTTGGCTCAGTGCTTAGCGCATCAGCCCGCAGACCAGAGAGTCCCGGGTTCAGCTAAGGGCATGTACCTCGGTTGCAGTTTGTCCCCGGCCCCAGTTGGGGTCATGTGGGTGGTAACCACGCAATGTGTCTCTCTCACGTGGATGTTTCTCTCTCTCTCTTCCTCCCTCTCTCCCTCCCGCTCTATCTGAAGATAAATGCAAAAGTGTCCTCAGATGAGGATAAAAAATAAAATGAAAAAATATATATATACATATATATATCTGCACATAGTAATTCCCACTAAGAAACATTCATAAATGTCCCCAATACTTCTGTTTTTCCCACTGCAGACTGACATACACATGGCAATAAAGATCACATCATGATAGAAAATCAAAATGGTTCCCTGTTTAATTTCCAGTTAACCTAAAACTTCTATTAACCCAAACTCTGTAATTTGGTTCAAGCTTTGGAAAGTTTTCAGGGGCTCTTTGGGCAGTTCGAGTATCTGGAGGCCTCTGTCTGTGGAGAGTTTTTGTTCCACTGAAGGAGAAACAAGTGCACAGCTGCCTCGGGAACACTGGAGGGAGCTGTGGGTGGGCACGGGTTTGCAGAACCACCAGGGAAGCCCCTTGGCAAAGGAGTCGAGGGGGCTCTGCACTGACACCCCAGTCGGGTCAGCAACCTGCACTTGGAGAAGGACAATCTGATCGGTGGCCTGCAGCAAGGACCCGGGCAGGTGGCGGCATGGAGAGTCGGGAGGGAGGACAGAGAAAATGGCCTCGACAAGGACAGTCCCAGCCCAGCACCCCTGCGACAACGGGGCACACCCCCACGCAGTCCTCACGGCTCAAGACCGAGCACGGCCCTCCGCGGTCGTCTGCGACAAGACCCAGCATCACAGGCCACGCGGGAGGAATCTGAGTTTCCCAGACAACGGGCTACGGAGGTGTTTAAGTAAAACAGCACTTTGATAAAAGGTATTTATAAGCCATGCGCACGGTTCCCTCCCACAGAGGACGTGGCGTCCGTGGACGTGCGGTGACATCTCCGTCCAGCCAGCGTGGGGCTTTCCTTCCCTTTCAGCCAGCACCTGCGCCCGGCTTCAGCTGATGTTGCCTCTCTTTGAGAAACAATGTATCTATCTGTCCCCTGCGCACACGACTCAGAGTCATGTCAGCATCTCAGCTTCCAGACGGCAGCGGGTTTCAAACCACATCCATTCCCACAAGACGACGCTGGTGGGCTGCGCGGCTCACGCAGCCAGAACCCCTGGCTCAGCCGGACACGGACACCGTCAACCGACAGGACACGCCTTCCCGGGTGACAGCTTGTATTTCGAAAGAATGAGAACACACCGACTCTCCTTTAAACCCCAGGGAGAGGACCCACTTTCGAAGTGTCCGGAGCCGCGCGGAGCAGCTCCGGGGAGCAAACTCACCCACAACGTCCAGGTGGTAGGTGTGGTTGATGGACCCGTGCGCGTTCTCCACCACGCAGGTGTAGTTCCCCTTGTCGGACGGCACCACGCTCTCCATGATCAGGCTCCAGTGCTGGGTGCGAACCTGCAAACATCGAAGTCCAGGTGGTCAGTTCACACTCGGCACGACCCCCGGAGGTGGGGAAGGTGGAGGATTTCCTGATTCTAAGTCGTCCCGGCAGGGCGACAACTAGAAACAGTCATTATCGCCATGGTCAGCGTCAAGCAAGCGGACCTGGACAGGCCCGGACACCCGAGCGTGTGTGGACTGACTCTTACAGTCAGCTTTGAGGTTCCCTCAAGAGCAGCCCGCGGCGGGACCCTGGGTGCCCAGGGTGGGCACGCTCCCAGGCCGCTCAGCCCTGGGGCACCAGGGAGAGGTCCGTCTGTGCGCCAGGCCCTGCTGACACTCCTTCCGCCCCAGCTCCCTGAACCCTCCCAAGGAGCCAGGGGGGTGCTTGGATTGTTTCTGGAGCCTTCTGGTCCAAAGCCCCTCATTTCCCCCCACGGCCCCCAGAGGCTGTCTGGGAGTCTCCAGGAGTTTAGCTCTCGTCTCTGGTGCAGCTGACTAGATGCTCCCTATCACTGAGAAACACACTTGGAATCCCCAACGGGGGAGCCAGGAGCCCTCGGGACACTGAGGGTGTACATCCATCTATGTACAAACTCCTCGAGACTTCCAAAGACAAGAGCACATGTGAAAATAAGTTATCACGACTCCTCCCCATGGTCGGGTCGACAGGCACACAGACTCGACTCTCCGCTCCCAACTGGCTTCCAAAACCTTTGACCAGACTCAGATCCACAAGCAGCACCCTCTTCACACAAGGACCAAGTGCGCCTCAGGGGAGGCTGCAGTGTTTCCCTCGGATCCCAAAGCGGTCTCTGGAGGTATTTTGGACAAGGCGTTCTGGAGAAAGGAAAGGAAAAAAGCCAAGTCCTGACTGGTGTGCACAGTGGTTAGTGCATCAGCCCGAGGTCCAAAGGGTCACATTCCAGTCCAGGGCACATACCTGGGTTGCAGGTTCAATCCTTGGCCCCATACGGGGTCATGTGGGAGGCAACCAATCAAGGTATCTCTTCCCCATCGATGTTTGTCTCTCTTTTTCCCTCCCTCCCTCTCTATCTAAAAATCAATGGAAAAAATATCCTTGGGTGAGGAGTAACAAAAAAATAAAAAATTAAATGAATGAATGAATGAATGAAGCAAGGGCTGGCTCATTTTAACTATGTTTCAGGAATTTCAGGCGACCTTCGGAAAGGCTCCCTGAGCTGGTTTTCTGCCTTAATCTCAGGGAGCCAAGCCCCAAGCTCACACGACGACCCACGGAGCCGAGGACGCAGTCATCCCTGAGCCCGTCAGAGCAGCTGTGTGCCTGGAGGGCAGCGCCGTGCGGGCTGACAGGGCGTGCCACCGTGCGACCCTCCTCACGCCGGCACCGGCTCTGCACCAGCCCCTGCTGTGGAGGGGAGCCGCTGGCGCGGAGCTCAAACACGAGATCACTGCAGATTGCGACAGTCCTAGGAAGGGTCGGGGGTGGAGGACGGACCCTCCCTCACGAAAGCACGGGCCCTGAATGCAGACTGAATCTGAGCTGCCCGTCAGCTCCCTGCGTAACCAGGGAGGCAGTTCCAGACCATCGCCCCCGAGCGGATGCCGGCCGGGCCTCCTCACTGCCACAGGTGGACGGTCTGGGGGCAGACGACTCTGAGGGCTTTGGGCCCACCGGGGGAGGCTGCACTCTCCAGGGGAGAGGCTCCCTCGCTGCTCCTGGCTGGGCCACGGGACTAAAACAAGAGGCTGCGTCTGCTCGTGGGAAGAAGTTCCTTCCGTGCAGCGAGCACCCAGAGATGTGGGTGCTAAGCTTTCCAGGGCAATGAACAGTCTCTGTCTCAGTGGGGCACCCGGGTGCAGCCCTGGAGCTCCCCGACTTCACTCGGGGCAAAGGGGCCACAACGAAACCCTCTCCTCCCCCAGCACCCAGGGGCCCCAGGAACGGACTCAGCCTCTGAGCAGCCAGTCACATGGAGGGAGACTCGGGGACGAAGCCACAGGCCCCACGTCACCGAGCCCCGTAATCCGGCACTTAGCCCTGCCGCAAACACTCCGTTCTCTGAGCCCCTGCTCAAATGTCATGCCCGTAAGCCCTTAATCACGGCCAGTGCCTGGCTCTGGACCTCAGCCAAACTGCCGATGTCTTTCTCGATCCAGATCTGGCACGTGGGCTGGTCTGGCGGGGAGGGCGCCGCCCGCCTGTGCCTGGGACGTGCCTCTTGGCCTGGCAGCCAAACTCACACTGCCGCCTCTGTCCCGGGCCACAGGCAGGCCGCTGGGGCCACAACCTTCCGCGTGGGGCCCCTCCTCACGAGCACCTGCTCCTGAATAGTTACTACCTGGAGATGCCCAACAGATAGTAATAAGTGAACATTTACAAAATGCTTTCACAACGAGAATACATTTCCAAAGCAGGTGTCCAGGCCCTTCCGGAGACCTTGTACCCAATCAATACGGCCCCACGCAGGGCTGTTCATGTTTATTCTCTTACGCCACGGCTCCAGCGTGACGCCTGCCACCAAGCCCAAATGTCACCCACTGTGGCACTGTCCAGCTGGATGCCCCGAGGAGCCGCCCAGGGGACCGCTGGTAACTTTGGAGGGGGTATCCTACCATTAACCACTGCGGCTTCATGAGAATCTAAGGCTACAAAAACAGCAACCCCATAGAGGACGACAAAGGCATAACGATTTGGGTGTTTTTGGTGTTGTGTGATGCTGTCTCCCTCCCATGATTCAGTGTGAACCTGGAAAACCACCCTTCCAGCAGAAATATAAGACCTTCTTCAGGTCTGAGCTCCTCAGCTTTCGGTGCTGGTTTTTAGCCAGTTTGTCAAACGTACACACACCCCAAGGAGGGAACGTACAGACCCGACCCACAGGAAAAGATGCTCAGCCTCCTCAACGCCAGGGAAATGCAAATTAAAACAGTAATGAGACACTGTTATTCACCAGCTGATTAACAGAAATTAGGAAGATCAACCCCACCGAGCCCTCGAGCAACAGACTGAAGCACAGGATGGGAGCGCAAGTGGAGAGACCCTTTCTGGGAAGTAATCTGGCGGTGCCTATTAAAATCAGCAACGCACTTTTTTTTTTCAACCCAATTAATTCTACTTCCAGAAAATCTAACCCACACCAAAAATAGCGAGATGGCGTCAAGGCGCATGGGCACGGTCTGCAACGGCAGAAGACAGGACTCCGCCGAGGAGAACCTTATAAACGCCCAGTTCACCCAACTGAATACCATCCACTCACTAAAATGCGAGGTATTCTTATGTTCCCCCCTGGTAAGATATCCACAGTTACCGATAAACGGAAAAAAGGGGGGACGAATACAAATATGTACATTCATGGCCCCATTTTGTTAAAAATACACCCAGGCACGGCCCCACAGGTGCATATAGGTCCCAATCGATGAGCATGTCTGTATTAGACGCAGCAAAAATCAGAAAGAAAACGTCCTCAGTTGTCAGCCACACTTTCTATAACTAAGCGGTGGGATTATAAACATTTACTTTCTTCTCGTTTTCACTTTTCAAATGTAAACGGAAATCTCGGGCACACACTCCACCCCCCCACCGCACCCCTCAAAGGGAACTGAGCGGGCTCCCCGGGCCCCTCCCTTCAGTCTGGTTACTGCTCTGCAGACTCTGTCCCCTGGCAGAGACACGAAAGCCGGAGGGGACCAAATCCTGAGCCTGTCAGCACAGGCAGGACTCTCCTCGTCCCTGCCCGGGGCCGAATCTTCGTGGAGTCTCCGTGGCTTTCATCTGCCAAGCCTCTTGAGAACAGGAGGCTTCAGAACTCTGCTCGCTGAAGACTCAACGATAACGCGTCAGTGCCGAGCAGAGCAGATGGAAGCTCAGGGCCCGGCCGCTCCTCTGTGAAACAGAAGCTGGATCCCTCCAACATTCCACACCCTGCCCGTCACCAAGACAAAAGGCGGCCCAGACGGGTCTCCTCGGAATCCTTCTGTTACCTAAACCCTCCAAGGTGCCCGGCACCCCCCGGCTGCCGTCACGTGACAACTGGGAATGCAGACCTTGTCTGTGATGACACATGACACCTGGGTGAGAGGTTGAAGTTTGGTTTCCACATTGCAAAAAAGTCCAGGCATTTCCAAATACCCGGGTGTTCGGTAAGCAGCAGGTAAACACCCAGAAGCGGGAGAGAAAGCTTGACTGTGCCAGGCTGACGGCTGCCGAGCCCACGTGCGCATCAGCACTGCCAAGGCCTCCTTCCTCCGGCGTCCCGAGCCACCCAGGGACAGCATCCCTACCACCCCGGCCTTCAGCAACACGCCCCCGAAATACAGCTCAGCACAGACCAACTGTCCTCAGGACCATAAAATCCGACCACCCCACGCCAGGCCAGCAGGGTCCGGGGGGCTCCCAGCCCCCTTCTGGACGTGTGCTCGGACTGAGCAGCTCGCGTCAAGGGCTGTGGACTCGCTGCGGTCCACCTCCGCCCGCTTCAGGCTCAACCGCCAAGGAGTTTGCTTTGCGGGTGTCCGGCGAGCAGGGCTGGGCAAGCGGGGTCCTCTGGGCTGTGGGAGACTCTCCCCTCCCCCAGGTCACGATCCATGGGTCCGAGGGGAGTGAACTTCCAAGTGCCAGTGCTGTCTCAGAGGTCAGCCCTGCAGACGGAGAAGGGCGCCCTGGGGGCAGGGCTGGGGGGGCTTCCCTGCCCTTTGAATTCAACCTGGCAGATCTCAGGACCTCCCTCAACAGGAAGAATCACCTTGTCACCGAATGACGACCCAGCAATTCCACTCCTAGGCATGTGCCCAGAGGCACTGGGAGCAAGGGTTCAGACACACGCTGTTCACGGCACCGCGAGGGGCCCAAGGCAGGACCAGGCTGCTGCTGCCCACCAGCAATGCCCGCCACCATCGGGCCCACCCGCAGAACACACCGTCGCTCCGCCAGATGAGGACTGCAGGCTGAGTCACGCCCGCACCTGTGGGAACCTGAACGCAATGAGCCCGACACCAGGGCACAAATACCTCCCGTTCCACCTGAGACCCTACAGCAGAGACAGAGCGCGAACCAGGGGTTTCTGGGGCCTGGACGGGAGGGGGGACGAGGAACAATTGCTTCATCGATACAGAGGTTCTGTTTGGGGCGATGAAAAGGTTTTAAAAATCAATGACACAGTTTCTGTTTTACTCCCAGGTTCGCTCTCGACAGCCACCTGGGCCATCTGACAGCAGAAGCTCTCGGGAAGCCAGGACGATCCACGTGTCTCTCGATTCTCCTAACTGTTCTTATCACACACAGACCGCACGTGAGGAAAGCAATTTGGTGAGTGCACGAATGTGGCACAAACCCGCAGGAGCGCAAGGGCGGCGCCACCACCGGCCGTGTGACAAGCCTCGTCCATAAAAGGGGCGGAATGAGAGTGGCCGCCCCTTTGGGCTGCACAGGGGACCCAGGGCCCAGAGCACAGCTGCACACAGGCAGACAGTCCCTCTGGGCCGGCGGCAGCATCACAGGCTGCTTGATCCGGGGTTAAAGCTGAAAGTCTTGGCTGAGAAAAAGCTCAACAGAATATAAAAATATGAGTAAGGGCCTGGCTGGCATGGCTCAGTAGTTAGAGTGTTGGCCCAAGGACCAAAGGGTCATGGGTTCGATTCCCAGTCAAGGGCACATACCTGGGTTGCAGGTTTGATCCCTGGCCCTGGTTGGGTCATATACAGGAGGCAACCAGTCAATGTGTCTCTCACATCAATGTTTCTCTCTCTCTCTCTCTTCCTCCCCAAATAAGCATACTATGGGGTTAAGCATAATATTTAATCAAAATTCTTTAAAATGACGTTTAAGTAACCTAGACGATACAAATCTAATTAACCTAGTCAGCGAAACAACCAGCTGAGCGGTGATTATAAGAAAATGTTTTTTTGTAAGTTGTCTTTTCTTAGATCTGAAACATACTCAGAAAGGGACAGTCCGCACACCAGAATGCCCCCCTCTGCTGAGGGGCTCCGTGGGAACCCCAACCTCCAGGGGGCCCAGAGCCGTGGGCTCGTGGGCCAATTCCACGGAGGGCTTCATCTTGCGATCCTCTCGCCTCGTATGCAGTAAGTGGCGTGAAGGATGGTTTCTGAGAAGATGCTCCCTCCCCACACCCGAGTCATCACCGAAGAGCTGGGAATTGAGCTGGTCTATTAATTATCTCAGTCCCCTTCCTGCTTTTCTGCATTAAACTGTAATCACTGTTCAGAGCCCTATGAAATATCTAACTATAAAGGTAACCTACTAGAAAAGTCTGTGCCGCGTTTAAGATGAAAAATGGTCGGTGCTGCATCATGGTTATGATGCCGCTAAATCCGTTTTCGGGCTGGAGGGGATCAGGTGTTCAAGATGACCGAGCCAATCTTCCAGTGTGAAGGACGGGGACCTGGGGCTGGGAGAGGTCAACAATGTGCCCCCCGCAGAGCTCGGGCACCGGGACAGTTAGGGAAACACCGTTTTTGCGGCGAGTGGGGCTTTGTCATTCCACATAAATTCATGCCGCCAACCAGCCTCTGCCCACAGGCTACAGAAAACAATAATCTGACTCTTAATCACCCAGGTTGGCTCAGCGTGAGTCCTCTGATAAATAAGACTGGACTGCAGAACCCAACTAGCTCTATCGCTCATTTTAATTAGATAAAATGAGCTTTCATCCGGCCGGTGTGGCTCAGTGGTTGAGCGTCGACCCTGCACCAAGAGGTTGACAGTTCGATTCCCGGGCAGGGCACAGGCCCAGGTTGTGGGCCCATCCCCAGTGGGGGGGCGTGCAGGAGGCAGCCAGTCAATGTTCTCTCTCATTGATGTTTCCATCTCTCTCTCTCTCTCTGTTCCTCTCTCTCCCTCCCGCTCTACCTGAACAAAAAATGGGAAAAGTGTCCTCGGGTGAGGATAAAAAAAAAAAAAAAAAAAGATCCGCAGGCCCCCTGGGTGGACAGAGGCCCATTTACTCAGCAGTGATGGACGGGCTTAGGGCCAGCCCAGGGATGCTGGCCGCCCACCCAGGGGAGAGGAGCCCAGGGAACCCTTGCAGGTGCCTCTGCCACCAAGAAACCTCCCGCCCTGGTCCTCAGGACCTGTGGTGTGAGCTGAGGTGCTCTTCACTTCACTCAGGGGCTCCCCGTGGCCCCCAGGTCTCCTGACAGCCGTGCCCTCAGGTCTCTCCTCCGCTCGGGACTTGCGTAGTCCCTAAGGCAGCGGAGTGGGGAGCCTTCCGTGACGAGGTTCCAAAGGCTGCAGCTTGTCTCCTTCGCACTCTCGCCGGGCTCTGGGGCTGCTCACCCCGAGAGCCAGCTGCCACATGGAGAGGCCCGCGTGGCAAAGAACCGAAGCCAGTGAGGAACCGAGGCTGCCCGAGTCCACAGCCTGCAGGGCAGTGACCCCGACACCACATGGAGAGTCTGGACGCAGACCACCCCACCCCAGGTGACCCTGCAGACGACAACCAGCCTCGGCTGAAATCTAGTCCGGTCTGAGAGGCCTCGGTGGACACTCCTGGATCCCGGCCGTGGAAGCCTGCGAGGACACAGTGCTGTCTCGGGGGCCCCGTCAGGCAGCGACAGGCCACAATGACGCCCATTCACGTTCCAAACGCAGCAAAGAATTTCCTAACAGGGTTCCGGGAGTCTCCCCTGTACAATCCATTCTTAAAGCCCTCCCTTTCCATACTGAACAGTCTGGAGACCCCACACCTCTCGGGCCGAGACACCCTTCCTCCAGACTCAGCCCAGAATGCCTCCCCGCTGTCCCTGACCCCACGTCTCCCGAGCAGCCAGGACCTTCTCCCGGCACATCCGGCAGGCCGCACACACCCTCTCACCTTGCCCACATCAGTGTCCCGCGGCCAGCTGTGGGTCTGCCTGCCCTGCTGGACGAGGAGCCCTGGGGGCTGCACCCGAGCTTCACCCAGAGCCCGGGACGCTGCTTGGCCGCCGTGTGCTGAATGGACGAACCAGGGCCCTAACGGTGTCTACAGACACCAAGGACACAGTCGCCCATTTCAGCCCCAGCACGAGTGCTCGATCGTTTCCGTCAGAAGGGCTGTCTGGGACCCCGCAGACGGACAGGGAGACGGGCCGCTGCCGGCCCCCGCCGCCTGGTCGCCCGACGGAACAGGGCGCCGGCAGTCCGCGGGCCGGCCGGAGTGTGCGCACACCCTGCCCAGCACATTCCGCCGCCGTCTTCGTTTTATAGACCATAAAGCATATAGAAAACAGGCTCTCAACTTTCGACCCCTCTGCTATTAAATGCGCCTCATATACGGAACAATGCGAATGGGGATTGTGCCTCGGAACCCGAGCAAGTCCAGGCTGCCGTGCAAACGTGGAAATGACCGGCTTCGGTCACGGCTGGGCTGCTTCCCACCCCTCTGTCCCCACGCTCTCCCGACGACTGACTACACGGAGACAGAGGGCCCGACAGCGCAGTCCTACCTTATAGCCCCCGATACGATGCTCCTGCCTGAACTCCTTGCCGTTCTTCAGCCACCTCATGGTGGGAGTGGGGTTTCCGCCCGCCGGACAGCGGAACTTGACCGTGTTGGCCGCGGGCACCGCGTGAAGCCGCTTCTCCATCTTCTCCGTGCTGGTCCAGTACGGGGCTCCTGTTTCGGGAGACAGCGTTAGTGACGCTGGACAGACAGCCTCTCCCCGTGCCTCACCGCCTCCCGGGTACGGTCACTTTATTCTGCACGGGAACAATGTGACGTTCTCAAAACCCTGGGGTACGAGCCCCGTTCGGAAAAAGCTTCCGACCCTGGCCCAGCTGGTGGCCCCTGGGGACGGGCTGCTTGTTCGTTTACGTCTGTTAACAGGGGAAACACCTGTCTGAGGCTTCCTCTCCCTTGTTCTTGGTGCCAGATTTCAGCGCGTGTCGAATCGTGTTTTAAGGCTACTGTGTGCACCCTGACAACGCGCTCGGCACAGCTGAGCGCCCCCATGCACCGGCTCCGAGAGCCATGGCTCTGAAGCGGTCCCACGACACAGCAGTGAAGACGAGCTGCACGCGCCCTCCCGCCCATCGGGCCTCACAGCCCAGGGCGCCCACGCACAACCCCCGGCCGGGTACAGCCCACGCACAACCCCAGCCCACGCATAACCCCCAGCCAGATACAGCCCATGCACAACCCCGGCCAGACACAGCCCACGCACAACCCCCGGCCGGATACAGCCCACGCACAACCCCAGCCCATGCATAACCCCCAGCCAGATACAGCCCATGCACAACCCCGGCCAGATACAGCCCACACACAACCCCCGGCCGGATACAGCCCACACACAACCCCCGGCCAGATACAGCCCACACACAACCACGGCCAGGTACAGCCCATGCACAACCACGGCCAGATACAGCCCACGCACAACCCCGGCCGGGTACAGTCCAAGCACAACCCCGGCTGGGTACAGTCCACGCACAACCCCGGCCCACACACAACCCCAGCCGGGTACAGCCCACGCACACCCCCGGCCGGATACAGTCCAGAGGCATCATGACGTGCCCGGCACGCTTCACGGTAGCCCACTGACCACATTGTTAACTGTACGTCAGTTTCTGCACAGAGGACACGTCTCCCCTCTCCGCGGGTGGCCGAGAACGCCGCGGTTCACACCAGGTCTAAGCAGACAACGTCACAGCCGGTAAAATGTTACGTCGAGTTGTACCCTCCGAACAGCCCGCAACCTCACTGCGCAGGTGATTTATTTTTAAACTCGAGAAAAGTAAGTGTTCAGATTTGCCACATGAAGGACACAGCATCCATCGGGGACACCGCCATCAGCTCCTCATGCCGCTGACGACGGCTAATGACGCCACTGATGGACGCTCCTTACCGGACAAACAGCCCTCAACGCTCTCGTGTTAGACACATCAATCCTGACAACAGTCCAACCGAACGGCACTCCCGCGTGATCCCTGTGTACAGACAGGGAAACTGAGGCCCTGCGGAGGCAGGCGGAGGTGCAGCCTGTCCGGAGCCCAGGCACTGTCTCCACCCGGCTCTCGTCCACTGCCGGTGAGAACCAGCTCCTCCGTGGGGCTGGAATCCGTCCCTTCAGCCCCCACACATGACACCGCATGCAGGACACAGCCTGGGCCGCGGACACGCTGCCCCCTGTCACCGCCCAGAACACCCACTGAAATCCTGCACGGCATTTAACTGCGCATGTTTCTCTTAGGAAACAGAGAACCGACATCCCGGGGTTCCCCTAGAAAGCATCCATCAGCCGGGCCTTGAACAGTCTAGAACGTTCTAGAACACTGACATTGTGTGGACAGAGAACTGCTTATTCCCGATGACGGTTGAACTGAGCAGCAGCACACACTGCACAGACCGGAGGGAGGGGCCTGGGCAGGGGTGCATCTCTGACACGGACGTGAACAGCTCTGGCCCTGTGGGTCCCGCAGTTCATTCCTGGGCCCAACAGCCAGGCTCTGGGGCAGAATCAGGAACTGGAATAACTGCACCCAAAACTCCGACCCCTCTCTGCCTCACCCCTGCTCTTGAAGCTGCTATAACAGGTGGGGCTGGGGCCCTGGCGGGCTGCTCCGTCAGTTAGAGCATCACCCCGATATGCCAACATCATGGGTTCAATCCCCGGTCAGGGCACATACAAGAAGCAACCAATGAATGTATCAGTAAGTGGAACAACAAATCGATGTGTGTCTCTCTCGCAACTCTGTAAGTAAAAGTTTTAAATGAAAAGGTGGAGTGGCAGTCTCTGAACGGGCATGCGGTGTGCACTCCGCCCTTGTGCTGGCCTGTGTCTCAGTGCGTGAGTGTTGGTGGTGTCCACATGATCCAAGACAGAGCCAAGTGAGGGAACGCTGGTCAGCCGTGTATACTGGAGAGAGAGGTCACCGTGTACACCGGAGAGAGAGGTCAGCCGTGTACACCGGAGACAGAGGTCAGCCGTGTACACCGGAGAGAGAGGTCACCGTGTACACTGGAGAGAGAGGTCAGCCGTGTACACCGGAGAGAGAGGTCAGCCGTGTACACCGGAGAGAGAGGTCACCGTGTACACCGGAGAGAGAGGTCAGCCGTGTACACCGGAGAGAGAGGTCAGCCGTGTACACCGGAGACAGAGGTCAGCCGTGTACACCGGAGACAGAGGTCAGCCGTGTACACCGGAGACAGAGGTCAGCCGTGTACACCGGAGGGGTCAGCCGTGTACACCGGAGACAGGAGAGAGTGGCCGCAGGCAGGGAGGGAGAAGACGGGCCGAGGGAGGAGGAAGTCTGCATTCTTTCCCCAGAACCCAGGTACATCTGCAACCTGGTGGCCCGTCAGCCTGGGGGTCAAACGCCCACAGACACACCCATTCTTTTGCAGGGCTCACCAGGGAACACCCAGTTCTGTGTTATCACAAGACGCCGGGCCTGGCGTCCACTGAAACGATCCCAATCACCTTTTATGGAAAAGGTTCTACTTGAAAAGTCCATCCACAGCCACTAGACAGAAACCATTCAGAGCACGAAACGGAACATTGTCGTCACACGAAGCCTCTCACAGAGCTGACCTCGGCCGTCGGTCTGAGTGGACACGAAAGCCCGCGCGGAGGCCCGAGCCGAGTCCACGCAGAGCTCGTGGCGGCACAGGGGCCGGTCCCGTGGCGCCTGCTCCCTCCCGTGGAAGCAGACACGCACTCACCGCCGCAGGCATGACTCCGACAGTCCCAGAAATGTCAAACGTAGGATTTAGCTTAAGACATTGAGAACGTCGCTCTGTCCCTCTCTCGCCGGGCTGAGCCGACCGTGGACTGCAGCCCCTCAGGCATCGCCCGGGTCACGTGACCACCCCCAGGTCACGGCCATGCAGACCCTGCAAGCAGCACCTGTCTTGGCCCCTCAGGAATGGCTGAGGGACAACGGGGAGAGGGCTCTGCTGCGATTTCTGGCAGGTGGCCACTTCCCTGGGTGACAGTTCAGCCACGGCTACTGACCTACAAGATGGTTCATGCAAAAGCGACGGCCCGGCGGTGCCTCGGGTCTGGGGCCTCCTCTGACAAGAAGGGAGAGAGATCATCCACAGGGCTGACACCTGAACTCACGGCTCTCTCTTCCCCTGGACAACTGTCCGTCACGACGCAGCGGAAGGGCCGTCGAGCCAAGTTCTCGAGGGTTCCCGAGTGGCCGGGATTCCCGCCCAAGGCTGGGTGCGCAATGACGTCCCTCGGGCCCCTGGGAGGAGGCCTTCCCTCAGGGAGCACGATGCCGAAGGGGGGACTTATTTTATGATTTCCCAGCGGCTCTTCCGGAGACAAACCGGTGTCACGGGGACCCGACGAAGCGGGAGGGTCGAGGAAACTGACTGCAGTGTGGGCACAGCCTGTGGTGCCCTTCGGCGGCGGCCTGTGCCCTCTGCCAACGCCTCCTGTCGTCCTTCCTGCTACTGCAGCAGCCTGGGCACGTGGGAATGCCAGGGCTCCCCGGAGTCCGGTGCAGGGGTGTGAAACAGGCCCCGGGCCCTGAGAAACTCCCCTACCGGAGAGGCCCGCTCACCACTGCTGGTGGACAGCATCACAGCCTCCCCTGGAGGGGGAGCTCTCAGCTCGACGGCCCTTTGCCTGGTGGGTGCTCAGTGCCAACACCACACAGCTCGGCTTGCAATGGTCTGCGAGCGGGTCAGCTCCCTGCTCGAGAGGAGCACATCACTCTCAACCTCCCCTGGTGCGGCCTTAGGGACACGTGAGGAGGGGTCAGGGCTGGTCAACAGGAGGGACAGATGGATGGAGGGATAAAGAGAGGGAAGAAGGAAGGGAGGGAGTGATGGAGAGAGGGAGAGAAGGAAGGATGGAGGGAGAGATGGAGGGAGAGAGGGAGGGAGGGAAGGAAGGATGGAGGGAGAGATGGAGGGAGAGAGGGAGGGAGAGAAGGAAGGATGGAGGGAGAGATGGAGGGAGAGAGGGAGGGAGGGAAGGAAGGATGGAGGGAGAGATGGAGGGAGAGAGGGAGGGAGGGAGGGAGGGAGGGAAGGAAGGATGGAGGGAGAGATGGAGGGAGAGAGGGAGGGAGGGAAGGAAGGATGGAGGGAGAGATGGAGGGAGAGAGGGAAGGAGGGAGGGAGGGAGGGAAGGAAGGATGGAGGGAGAGATGGAGGGAGAGAGGGAAGGAGGGAGGGAGGGAGGGAAGGAAGGATGGAGGGAGAGATGGAGGGAGGGAGGGAAGGAGGGAGGGAGGGAGGGAAGAACCAGATGGACAATGGTTCCAAGCTCCAGCCATACAATGACGGGCTGGGCGTCTGATAAGCCCCCTCCTGGCTCTCACACTCTCTCCAGGTATCTGTACTCCAGGCAGACATTGGTTCTGCCAACAAATCGCAGGACGGGAGGGTTTATTGCAACCCTGCCATCTAAACTTAATGAGAAAATATGGGCTGCGGAGCCTGCTTATGAAGTCCCCTGCGTACCCCGATCCTGACATCGAAGGTTTATGGCCTTCTCCGCCTCTCTGAAACCGAAGAGAGAACGCAGCCCAACAGCTCAAAGGAAAACATGGACTCATATGACCACTGTACCAAGCGCAACCTTGGTGACCATCTGGCCCAGCGGCTGATGCGATCAATGTCATCCAAAAGGTCAAGTGATTTGATGGAGGTCACGGGCCAGG